TGCGGGGTTTGCAATGGGAACAGTGCCTGATTTACTTGGACGATGTGATCGTGTTCAGTAGATCTTTGTCTGAGCATTGGTCCAGGCTACGAGAGGTGTTCCAGCGACTGCGAGCGGCTCATCTCAAGCTCAAGCCACGTAAGTGTTACATCGCACAACGCGAGGTGGGGTACCTCGGGCATCGCGTCAGCGAGGCAGGCGTGCGTACCGATCCGGAGAAGGTACGCGCCGTAGTGGAGTGGCCACGGCCAAGGAATCTGACGGAGATCAGATCATTTTTGGGGCTCGCCACCTATTATCGTCGATTTGTAAAGGGATTCAGCGAGATCGCACGCCCCCTCACCCAACTCACTTCCCCTAAGCACCCCTATCAGTGGACGGGGGCCTGCCAGACGGCCTTCACCACTCTCAAAGACCACCTCACCCACGCCCCCACCCTCGCTTTCCCCGATTTTACCACCGATTTTATTTTGGACACCGACGCCTGCAGCAGCGGGCTGGGCGCGGTGTTGTCACAGGTACAGGGTGGGATGGAACGAGTCATCGCGTACGCCAGTCGGACCTTGAGTGGGGCCGAGCTGAACTATTGCGTGACCCGCCAAGAGTTGTACGCCGTGATTTTCGCATGTAAGCAGTTCCGGCCGTATTTGTACGGCAGGAGATGTCGCGTACGCACTGACCATTATGCTCTTCAGTTCCTTCTTACATTCAAGGAGCCGCGGGGGCAGATGGCCCGTTGGTTGGCACAGTTGCAGGAGTACAACCTGCAAATCGAGTATCGGGCTGGCCGGACGCATGCAAACGCGGACGCCTTGTCGAGGCGGCCCACGGTGTACGCCGAGACGAGGGCGGAGAAGGCCTGCCCCTGTTTCACGGGGGGACGCTGCCGGCAGGCAACGGACCCCCGAGAGGCCGCGGCCACTGACCCCCCCCCAGCGAGAGAGAGTGCAGTGTGCGCCACAGAGACCCTCACAGGTGGCACCGAGGATCCCGTCGACCGCCCGGCAAGCGCGGGACCCGCGGCTCGGGACCCGATCGGACGGATCCAGGAGGACGTCGGCTGCGCCTTCCCGGGCCTGAACGACGAGCAGCTGAGACAGACCCAGCAGCGAGATCCGGATCTGGCGGCCGTGGAGGCGGCACTGCGGGAGGAAAAGAGCGCCCTACCAGGACCCTGGAGCGGTTTGTATGCCCGGTTGTGTGTGCAGAACGGAGTGGTACGGGAGTTAACAGAGGCCGGCCAGCCGGGGTGCATCTGTGTTCCTGCCCAGGTGCGACCCCAGCTGCTACGGCTGGTGCATGACCACCCACTCGGGGGCCACGATGGGGAACGACGCACTCGAGAGACCCTGCGTCGCCAGTATCTCTGGCCCAAATTGGCACAAGACGTGGCGGCCTGGGTACAGGGCTGCCGCGCCTGTCAGCAGTGCGGGCCGAAACCGGCACGATACCAGGTACCCCTAAGGCCGTTCCGCGTCAGCCGCACGAATCAGCTGGTCGGGATCGATCTACAGGGGCCATTCCCACGATCCCATCGAGGCAACCGGTATATTCTAGTCGCAGTAGAGTATTTCACCCGCTACCCCGTGGCAGTGGCCATCCCTGATAAAACGGCCTTGGTGGTGGCCCGGGCATTCGTAGAACATTACGTACTCAAGCACGGGATCCCGGAACGAGTCCTCACCGACCAGGGTAGCGAGTTCGAGGCCGAGCTGTTCCAGGCACTGTGCCGAGAATTCGGAATCCAGAAGGACCGAACCACAGCGTATCACCCCCAAGCGAACGGTATGGTAGAGCGCATGAATCAGACCCTAGCGGGGAAACTCAAACGTATGGCGGCCGCAAATCAACGGGATTGGGACGAACACCTCCCCTACGCCCTTTTCGCCTACGCCACCACCGTACACACGTCGACGGGACAAACCCCGTTTTTAATGATGTTCGGCCGTGAGTCTCGTTTACCCGCAGATCTGCTATTCGGCGTCCCTTCCCCCCAGCCGGAGGAGGGAAGCCGCCCCGTGGAACACCTGTTGGAGACCCTGCGAGAAGCCCGAGGCCGAGCATACCCGCAAGGGGAAGCCGCGCATCGGCGGCAGGAACAGGGCACCCGACCCCGCATGGAACCTCCCTTATTCCTGACAGGCGCTAAGGTGTGGCTACACACCCCTCACGTTGGGGCCGGGCAGGTGGGGAAACTGACGACCTACTGGCGGGGACCCTGGACCGTGGTGCGGCAGATATCCCCCTGGACGGTACTAATTTACGGCGGGGAGAGGGGTCGAGAGACGGTGGTCAATGTCCGCCGCTTAAAACCATGGAAAGCGGCCCCGGCGAGAGAGGACTCCGTCACCCGAAAGCCCCGAAATCCCAGAGTACCCGCACCCCTCGTGTTGGGGGGCCTCGCACACTACATGGGCCCCGCCAGGTCCCCGAGACGCCCCGATCCAGTCCGGAGACGGCGCGGACGACGGCCACTAAACCCTTCCGCTGCTGAGTTTGTGCCCCAGCCCACAGGTGCCGGGGGACGGGGAGAGCCGCTGGAGTGGAGGAGGAGACCGCCGCAGGAGCTACAGAGGACGGAACCACCCGCCCCGAGGCCAGCCACCAGGTCCGGACGGATCCCCCGGACCCCGCAACGTTTCCTCGTGGGCGCGGCCCAAGCGAGGTGCTCCAGTCAACCCGGGACGGGGACTGGCACCTCGGGGGGCTATGTGATGCCGCCGCCACGAAGCCGTTGGCAGGCACCAAATCCCCGACCTCGCCACCACCAAGCAACGGAGCCGACCCCGCGTCCCCCTCACCTCACCTCACATGAACACACCCGCACTCATTTCCCCCCCCCCCCCCATAGAGCTCCGAGGGGAGGTCGCCTGGCCGACCGGTTTTTATCCGAGAGACCCTTATCGGGATTAATTCTCACGGTTTCCGGCGATCAGGGAATTGGATGACCTCCCCCGTGCTACGTGGCACCGCGGCGTTGCGGCCGGCCTTAATATGGTGTGGTCGTGGCGTGGGGCATTCGGCCACCGCGGTTGAGGCGCATTTCCCCCCACACACACTCCCACGGGTCGACGGGGCAAGCAGGGGAGGCACGGGACAGCATGAATAGCGGGGTCACAGGGGCTGTTGCGCATAGTCATGGAGGGTTGGGATAATTGCGCTTGAGCGCGCAGGCCCCATTGTTAGGAAGGGTAAGGTAGTAATTAGGATGTACGCCGCCAACGTCGCTCACTGATTAGCATATCAACAGCGCCCGGGAACCGCCGTGCGCGGGCTTGGGGTGCACGAGCCCATTGTTCAGCGCAGCATCCCCTTTGAGGTAGGGAGGATAAATAGAGGAGCGCAGAGGGGAAATCGCTCTCTTCTCTCCAGCGCCAGGCGACAGGACGCTCTCCAGTCCAGCGACCCGATCGTCCGTGAGACGCATCGAGGTACGCTGCGAGCACGGGATCAACGAACCGCCGTGGGCATCCAGCAGGAAGTAAGTAGGTGAATTAGAATCATAGCAGATAAATCGGGAATAGGTATAAAGGTATCAGCGTAGGCCAGCCTCGTCGACTCACTGATTTAACATTAGAATTAGAATCATAGCAGATAAATCGGGAATAGGTATAAAGGTATCAGCGTAGGCCAGCCTCGTCGACTCACTGATTTAACATTAAATTACCAGGTATCAGATAATAAATCATTAATAGCGAAGCGTGGTCTCGCGTGATATTGTCGTGCCGTGTGAGCGTGTGGGTGCGCGTGTGTACACTGTGGTTCACCACGTGAGTGAGCGCTGCGTAGAGCGGCGCACGAGTGGGTGTCGCGTGTGTGCAGGTGTGTGCGCTCGTAGTGTGGGTGAAGGGGTCGGTGCGTCCGCAGGTCCCCGATCCGTCTGTCGCCGCCGGGACTCGCGCAGTGTGAGGGCAGCGTCGTTCGCCCCCGACCCCCGTTTAATAGCGCGTGATCCGTGGAGAGACAACGCAGCGTCTGCAGGTGAACGAGGGCGTGCGGCGAGCTTTGCCTCTCACACGAGCTCGCGGAGGGACGGACCAGGGAGGGGAGCCGTCGGGCGATGAGCCCAGCGACGGCAGCAGCTGCTCGCAGAGCAGCGAGGGGTCGGCGCACGGCGGAGCCCCTGCCATAGGCACGGAGCAGGGAGGGACTCCGGGGACCAGCGGCCCCAACATCAGCGCCAAATAAAAAAAACGTTACCACTGTTGTGCTCAAAAAGTAATTTATTGACCTAGAACAAAATACGAATTCATAACTAACATTAAATACCATGAACGTGCTTGGGTATAGAAGAGTCGCCTGACACCATTTGGAACGTGCGTGTTCAATTCGCGTCCGTGCACGTCAAGTCTGGTGGTGTGCGTCCATGCGCCATCCGGCTCCCTGGCCATGGAGTCGGAGGCCCTGCCTGCTCGCGGCTCGCTGCTGTTTGACCCAAGGCTCAGCAGAGCCGCAGGGCCCTATCAGCGTACAGCGAGATGGCACATTTGTCCAGGCTCCAGAACGCCAGAGGCCCAATAAATATAACAGACAAAAACATCTATTTAGAAATATGACTTTATTAATTTTCTATAATTGTTTAAACAAGAATAACATGGCCAATACTAGCTTCATTAAGTGTTATTTCTTACTTTGTTTTAATGTCAGAAAGGGGGCCTCTGTGGGTGCTTTCCATTTGAGTCAGAACAGGGATGACGTGAATGGTTCGCTGGTGAACAGCGCTGCAGGCAGATGGAGCAAGTTCCATGACTTCCCTTGCACAGCCAATAGATTATAAATGCTTGTCATTTGGGTTTTTAAGTACAGCAAAGCAGAATTACAACTTGCTTTACAGCATCAAGTTGAACAATATAACCGAATAAAAATACAGATTTTGTTTTTTTATGAAATACCATGACCGTCCTTTGTTTTACAAGGTAAAAACCCAGACAATTCGTTTCTGTTACAACTGCTGCATTTACAGTGGTATACTTCTATTCAGAAAGACCGTAATAACAGCTGGTAATGACGACTGATGAGCATTTAAATAGCCACGCGTTTTGTTTTCACGTCTTCATATTTGAAGCCCCAGCCAGAAGGATTTCTCATTAAATCGCATTCCGTGTGAACAGCACAGCGCACTTTGTTACTTCTGCTTTTGAACACAACTGAAAGATTACGAACCTTCAGCGATTATTCCAATATACCGAATGTTAAATATGCACAGAACCATCTTAATACTGGATTGTTGATAACTCAAAACGTGAATTTAAATCAAGTAAATAACATCATCGAACTAAAACAATGTTACATGGAAATATACTCGGCTCCAGAAAAGTAACTGCACAGCATTTGGAAAATGTGTATCGCTCATTCATACAGGTCGAGGAGTCTCAAAAATGGACTTCTCAGCCCGTACAGGATTTGCCTCCTTGGTCATGAGGTCAGAGCCCGTCTCTGGACGCTGTTTGCTGCTGTTTGACCCAAAGCTCAGGTGATGCTGCTCCCCGTTGGATCCATTCAATAGCAGCAGCCACCACAGAGCCAACTGTGGGACATTGGGGTGGATTTCTCACTTCAAAAACAAGATTATTACTCGTGGATACTTACAGATATGTGTAAATTGCTCAAGATTACAAACTGGCATCATGTGGTGTAAAATTAAATCCCACGTGTTACGATAAAGAGACACGTTCCGCATCACATTGACACACTTCTGTAATGATGAAGTATGGCCCGTTCGAAGGTTTCTACCAATATAAATGAACACTTTCATCGCAGCCATCTCTGCTTCACGTTGTCAGGCTGGGTACTTGCGTATGAAGTGGTCATTTCACAGTGTCAACTTTAATTTTCATAAAAATATCATGAACAGAAATGGGCAGGGTAATTACTTCCCTTCCCTTGTGTTTCCCCCTGGTGCCGCACATACGTCCCATGCAGCCTTATCTTACACACAACAGGCAGTCACTATTCTACTTGCATAGCAAAAACCTTGAAGAATATTTCATCATTATGGTGTGGTTGATGCATACACGAGACTGCTGGTATTAGTATAAAAATAGATTAATTTGCTATGCACGAACATTTTGCATGCAAACATATTAACGTTACGGTCAAACGCGACTCTATACTCAGCTGAAGGTTTCGAAGCAGTCAGTGTGGTGCCACTCCTGCCACTAACGACAAGCAGGAGTCGCAAGTTCAATAACTTGCCTTGAAAGCATTTGAAAATTATTGTACGGTATATATGGCTTTTTAAGGTACAGCAGAAATAAAAGCGACTTGTTAGCATTATCAAACAATTATGGAACTATACAAGTACAAAATAATCAAATGAAAATGTAGCAATAGTTTGATTAATTAGCATTGTCCTCATCAACTTCACTTGGCCAGGCAAGGACCCGCTGACACATCAAGTCTCCATTAGAAGCGTCACCTGGGCAGATGTACGAAGACAAATAATGGCACAGATGGCAACCACGGATATACTGTAATGCCTATTCTACTCTACTATTACATCCCATGTTTGACGAGTTACATAATTAAATCGGCAGGCAACATTTAAAAATTAGTAACTTGACGACAATTAGTATACGCGGATTTGTACACTGTAATATCAATCACATTGATAACATTTTTTACTGAATGCAGCGGTTCCCAACATTTTCCAGTGTGCGGACCCCTTTTCAACCTCCAAGCATTTTGCGAAACACCACATGCCACGAGTTATTTGAATTTTCCCCGGTGAGGATGCTGTTGTTTATATTTTCCGCGAACCTCCTGCAGTAGCCTCACCGACCACCAGGGGTCCCCGGACCACCGGTTGAGAAACGCTGATAGAATGCATTTCATTTACCCTTTATTCTTTTTGTAAGGACAAGGCAGGTGCATATTGTCATCACATTACATTCTGTGCAGTGATTGGCTCTACATGTCAGAAAGTCGCGACGGTGCGGTTGACCACCAGTGTTGCCAACTCAGCGATTTTGTAAGATCAGGTTTATTTATTTACACGCTTTTATTTAACTCACTTCGTCTGTTGTATCCTCAAAAAATTAATCTTGCAACTCAATTTTTACACACTTCCCAATGTGCTATCGACTGCAAACTTCGTATAAGTATGTCATACTGATGACAACACGATATTCTATCATAAAATACCCAAAACATATTTTAAAACTTTTAACACGTTTTTATTTAACTTACTGTATGTGTTGTCATATCCAAAAATCTTGTAACTCAATTTCAACCGTATTCCCAATGTCGTATCGACTGCAAACTTGGTATAGGTATGTCAAACTGATGACAATACTATATTCTATCATTGAACATTTTAAATATATTTTTTTTTAATATTTTTTACGGCTCTAATTGTCGACGCTCAACTTACGTTGGCTGTAAATCACCACGGTCCCTTACGTTGGGGAATGTCGAAGGAGGGGAGGGGCGAAGGGGGCAGGGGGCGGGGTAGCTCGGACAGTACATTTCATTAAAGCGTGTTTTTTAAAGTATTTTTACATATTTTGTTATTAACCTGTTGAGAACTCAAGAGGCCAGTAGCATCTCGTTTGCAAGAGTGTTGAGGTATTAATCTGCCTGTAGGGGGCGATGATCACTACGTACAATATTAATTGATTTATTTGTTGAGTCATTTTTTTGTGTGTCCCCCACCACCGCTTCACATCAAGAGCCACGAGCAAGCCACTGCCTTTGAAACACCCTTTGGCCTCCACGAACCACTTGTGTGCTCAACGACAACTAAAGCTGGGTCCGGAAGAAGCAGCCGAGATCCCCTGGAGATGCGAGCGACGGACGCCGTTCCCGAGGGCCACCGCTGGGGCTGGGAGGCCCAGACGGCGCCTCGCGGGCACGAGTGGCCAGGGCCCCCTAGCGGACACAAGGAGGCACAGCGTGCGGTACAAACACAACTATGAGACAGCGTTCGACTCTGTCATTGCTATGGCCTTACCAAGTGAATTACAGTCAACTGAGTTGTAAACATCAATAAACATAGACGTAACTTGAACCGAGAAGATGGATACAAATTGAGCAATCATTGGAAGGATGTTCTTAACCAGGTAAAACCTTAACTGCTTTATGGTGTTGCCTTCATTTCCGCATCTCCAGATTTCTTCAGCCTCCCACTCCCAGCCCCGCCTACTTCCTCCCCCCGCCCCAGGCATTCTGTCTGCTCGTCCTCTAAACGCTCTCGCAGCACTCCCCTCCCCCTACCCCCCCTCTCTATCTCTCCCCCCTTGCTGCTTCCCCCCTCTCTTACATATATAGCCTCTTGTTATAGCAGCCCTTGTGCCCACTTCAGCAATTGTTTCTTGCTGTGGTTGTCCCACCTGATAACGGATGCTTGTGTTGCGCCCGAAACGTCGTGATTTAATTTATTTTGTTTTATACCTACGTGACTTTACCGAAAGAACCAAAGAGGATACCAAAGTTGCCCTCGTGGCAATAGGAACGTAATCCCAGTTGTGCATTACAGTACAGTATAACAAGACGCCGTTTTGTGATATCAGTTCTTTTTTCGTCGACAAGTATTTGTATTGTTGTCTTTTAAATTGAATTGTTTGCATCGTATGGTTTAAACTCTGCGAGTTGTATTAATTTCATAGAACAATCAAAATAACCCCAGAAAAAATATACTGTACTCACAAGGCCCGTGCCGTCCTCGCATCACACGTTAAGATTGTCATAAACGTCTGCAACAAACGGAATATGAGTTTACATTCCAGCATCAACAACGTAATAATGACCAAAGTACACGATTAAAAATAGTTGAACAGCACAAGCAAATAAACTCCAATGGAGTGGATGGATTAAATCAGTGGACGTGTCCCTTGGACTCTCAATAAGTTAAGCAACATTGCAGCGCCTGCCGCTGGCGATGTTGTGGTCGATGGCCAAAGTTATGTGGGGCCACGTGGCGCTCTCTGCAGGTCGTCTCGTGCGCCCTCTACCTTCTGCCTCCTTCCGCTGCAGCTTGAGGGCTTGGTAGTGGCCTTCGCGCTCCTGCCGGGGGGCATCTGCCAGCAAGTTGTTTACGTTGTCATTCATACGTCGTTATTTATACGTTGTAATTTATAGATAGTGATGTATACGTTGAAATTTACACGTTGTAATTAATTCGTTGCAATTAATATGTTGCAATTAATACGTTGCAATTTATACGTTGTAATTCATAGGCGCCATCTGACTTCAGTTGACGATCGCAAGCGTCACGTGACAGCAGACATCCTCGTCGTCACAAAGTGCGTGACATAGCGACGCGTGAACAAGTGACAGCTACTACCATTGTTGGTCACCGATGGCGATTCCAGCACTTCGGAGTCGCTTCCTCGCTGTGGATCAGGACCTGTCGTGAAACAAAACTCCACTGTGGACTTCACGGCGATGCCACTCCTCTCGACCCATTAGCGAATGTGAGGAGGCAAAAGCATCAAAGGTCACAACGCGTGTTCTTGTTTTGGCTCTGTTGCCTGTGTAGGGGTGTCAGGAAGGATTCCCACCAATAGGAGGGTTAGTGGGAGGGGTAATTGAGGAGATGTAAGGGGAGAACGGGCGGGAAGAGGGGGAAAAGAGCCAAGGGAAGAGGAAGCAGGGGCCGGGGATCCTTCCCATCCCAGGCAATAAGGGGGCCTGCTACCAGAAGCAGCAGCAGGGGGCCTGGATCGCCTGGAGGACCCTATGGAGGACCGCATGGCCCGGGTGGAGAGGGCACTCCAGGAACTACTCAAGAGGCTCCCTATGGGGTGCCCGCCGGCACCGGGACCCCCACCCCCACGCGTACCACGGGAGGAGAGGCCACGGGACCCGGAGGCCGACCAGCCGGCCGGGCAGGAGCCGCAACCAACCTCGTCACGCCAGCCGCCACCGCTCCCGCCAAAACCCCCAGAGCTAAACACCCAACACGGAGAGCAGGTGGCAGGACGGGCGCGTCGGCTGGGGCCCGTCGACAAGTTCGTGGCTGAGGAAGAAGATTGGGAGGCGTTTATCCGCCAATTCGAGGCTGGCTTCCACGCTCTCGAGCTTTGCCATCCGTTCTGGGCGACGAGGCGCTCTCCTCGTACACCTCCCTTCCCTCGCACAGCAAGACCACGCTACAGGCGGCCTACGAGGCTTTGGGGGAGATCTACTGCCCAGCAGCAGGAGCCTTTAAACGGTTCCAGGACCGCCAGCGAGGGGCTAGAGAATCCCCTTTAGCCTACAGGAGTGCGCTGCTCGTGTTGGCGAGGAGGGCTTTCCCTCGCCTGGCTGAAGAAGCGCTCGAGGACCTTGTGGTCGAGCACCTCATCGCCTACGCTTGCCGTGCTGGCGTTGTAATGCCCGTGGTGACCCTGGGGGAGCGCACCTCGCTGTGGGCTGCCCGGACCATCCAAGCCCATGAACAGGTCATGGTCCGGGCGCCACCCGTGGGCCAGGTGGCTGGCGCGGCGGGGGGGAACAGCCGAGCCGTTGCCACGGCGCTACTGGGTCCGGCGACACCAACTGCCGAACCTGCACCGTCGCCGCAGGCTGCCTGTGGGGCAGCTGGGAACGGACCCCTGATGTCTGAGCCGGAGCCATCGCTGCGGGAAGTGTACGTGGCGATTCGGGGGCTGGCGGAGCAGAGGAACCAGGGGCGCGACCAGCCGCCGCGTCGCTGGCAGCCGCCTCTACAACACCGCGCCAAGCCACCCCGACGGAACGCCCCGTGGGTCTGCCACCGTTGTGGTCGAGAGGGGCATGTGGCGAGGAGGTGCCGCACGGAGCCAGAGGCCGCCAACGCCAGCTGGAACCCGCCGGGGCCGAACACCGACAGGATCCAGGCGAGTGACGCCATCCCGACCGGCCTCTCGGTCGGTCTGGAAAATTACACCCCCGACGCCGCGACCTTACCGGGAGCCTCCTCGGGGTGGGCGCCGTCGGTGTCGGGCCCCGGGCCCCACTGTCCTGGTCGGGGGAAGGAGATTGCGCCGGAGACCGCGCCGGGGATAGCGCCGGGGCCGGTGATCGCGTCGCGACCGGAAGTGGCGTCGCGAACGGACGTGACATTGCGTCCGGAAGTGACGTCGTGGCCGGAAGTGGTGTCACGGACCGCGCCGGGAATCACGCCGGGGCCGACGTGAGGAGGCAAAAGCATCAACGGTCACAACGCGTGTTCTTGTTTTGGCTCTGTTGCCTGCACTACAGTAGCCTGTGCTTCACTGTCAACTTCATGAACTATTTATTCAATGTAGTTATCAGGAAATCTTAAAATATCATGAGTATGATTTCATTAAATCTGACGTTTAAACACAACCGTGAACCTTTAATGGTACAAAGCGTATAGATCAAAGGATATTGAAGTTGTTACGCCAGTTATGTATCCTTGGAAGCCTGAGTCTCAAGACTATTTTTCAAGTGCGTCCTGCAGAGGGATGTCTGGCCACTGTGAAGTACGTGTGTTTTGAATATGGGAGGAAAATAGTGCCGCATAAATGCGGAAACTTACCATCCATCATCATCGATTGCAAGTTCAATGCTTGATAAGCACTGTCTTGCTCTGGCTGAGACTCTGCTAAGAATATGAAAGTGTATTTAATTGAATCGAATTTAAACCAACAGTTAACATTTTGTCTCGCATAGAGTTAGCCAAACTGAACGAGTGTTATTTCCACAAAAAATAAATATACTTGTCAAGACAAAAGGTGTGGTGTACCTATTTGAACACACAGACCACATGCTATTAAAACTGTGGTGGTCAGCACACGTTACTGAATTTCTTTTGAATACCAAACGTTTCATTTTATTCTGGCACGCATTTTAATAGTGCGTTTTCTTCCATTGTCCAGAACTCTTAAAAAGTTTACCAACATTTACACATAGACGGTGTACACGGGTCTCAATGGCAGCTTCTCTAGTGGCTCTCGGCTGGGTCAAAATGAACGAGAGCTGTTTCCCCTGCTAGGAGGAGGCATGGCTGGCAGTGGCATGTGGATGGTCTCACACCTGCACGAGTGTTGCTGTGTGTAGCACACAAGGCTGACAGCCACACATAGAGCCACCGCAGCAATGCCAACATCAACAGCGATCCCAGCCAATGGGTAACCCCTTCCTCCATTAATGAAATGACATGCGGTTGTAGTGACCCTTAAGGGAGCTACGCAACGTGTATTGGGTGTATGGGGTTCATTGTGAGGAATGCTGTTTGGCTGTAGAGTGGTGGGTGGTGCCAATGACCTGCATTGAGCTTCCTTCTTCTGTAGCCCAATACAGCAACAACAGCAGCTCCAGCAGAGAGAAGCACAGCCAGCACCACTCCAACAGCCACCAACACGTACGGAGATGCCCATGGAACTGTTGCGAAATACAAAATAATGCATGAACTAAAGAGACGATAAAATAATTTAAGTAATTTGATAAACATTTTATATTTGCATAGATTTAAAGTAGTGCATTAATATCTATTCAAATGCGTTTCACAGCCATGTAATAGGACGTAACAAGAGTTTTAGGTTCAAATTCACTTTGCCGATCTGCAATGTAACATTGAAAGCCAGTGATTATATCTTATAAACGGGAGCGGTAATTTAGAGAATCAACAAGAGAGCAAAGTGTTTGTTTTCCATGACAAAAATGGGAAGTCTTGTACCTTGTGACATAATCAACTTCATTTCCAACTGCCATGAATGGAAATATCCCTCAAACTGACAAGTGTAAACCCCCTCTGCATCATCATTCACCACTGAGATGGTCAGAGAGAAGTCGTCGTCGTCAAAAGCGAAGGACGAAATGTTTACGTCGGAGTTAAGGTGGGAACTGAATGCAGCGTGAGGTCCGGCTGGGTGAGCCGCGAGTATCGTACGGACTGTGGTGTCACCACGTGGCCTCCAGTACCAGGTGACCGAACGAGACTCATTGGAGGAGCTCCTCCACTCAAACCCAGGGTCAGACTCCATGCAGGGCAACGTGATTCCTTCACCAATTTGAGCCGCGTAATCCCTATGTGCGTTTTGCTCTGCACTTGCAGATCGTGTTAAAACAATGGTTTCATTATCAAACAGGCAGGACGGCACAATACAGCTACATATCTTGCACCTGAAGGTATAAGCATGGAAATTGTGTTAAGCTTACAAACTACTTTCGTCAATGTAACTTTATATCCGATGTGTGTAGTGAGTCCCACACGATCCCTGGGACGGAGGAATCAAGCAGGCTGGAGTAAACACTCCACGCTCTGATTGGTGAGGGCACGGGGAGCAAGGGGATTGCCTGGAACGTTCAGAAGGGAAAAGAACTGGAGGGTTGGGTGAGCGTCAGGTGGGATGGTTAGGCCAGGTGAGGGTAAGAGAGGTGACGATTGTTGGAGACGGAGTGCGATGAGGTGCGGAGCCAGTAAGAGGTTAAAAGAGGGAGTTGTAGTCGGAGTTCGGGGCTTTGCTGGAGAGAGAACGAGAAGGAAGGTGTGGACCCGTGCCATGAAATAAAGACCTTACTTACCTTGTGGATAAAGAAAAGGGCCGGAGTCTTCTTTCATGTGCATTAATTTCATTTTTAATTTAGAATGATTGTATTAACTGCAGTTTATATATATAGGATGAAACTCAACACACTTGATCAGAGTATTTATGTTCAATATGTGATTGCAGTGTTTTTATGATGGAACTGAAGTATGGTGAGATGTGTACTTACCAATTCTCCGCACGTTCAAATTGTACGCTACCTCTGAGATCTCTCCACTCTCCCTATTCAGGGAACACTTCCACAACCCACTCTGAGCAGCCTTCACTTTCACCAACACGAGGCTGCTTTGATGGCTGATCTCAATCCCATTGTGAATCCATCTGACCATGTGTGCATAGGAGTCGTTGGAGAGCTGGCAGGTCAGACTGATGCTCTCTCCTTCTGCTATGGTGTCGGATGTGTTGGACAAAACTAAAGAACACAAAACAAAAATCAATATTTACGACTCATTGATTCAAAATCACAAGCCAAACTAGAGTACAAATCATTCTGAAGTCTGAGGTATGGCTTATCCCTGGTCACGTGGAATCCACAACTGTGATAAGATTCCAGGAGATCGGAGCCTGGAGTCCTTACAGCGCAGTTGAGATAATAGAATGCCTCCTGCACTGCTCCTCTACTCGTGATTACAGCAGCAGAGCACAGAGACTCCAGGGTGGGGTGAAGGTGAAGGGGTGAAGAGGAGACCACGTGGCCACTGATCACGAGAAGCACTGGCCCAGGAATTGTCTAAACCCAAATCCCTCGACCTAAACCTGATTGTGAACGTGAACTCAGAGCAGGACTCTGAATGGCCAACAGCAGCAGTGCTACCCCTAATTCTCACGTGAACTCTCCATGCTGCAACTTGACGGAAGTAAACCTGTTTTAATTATCATGAAATATTGTGTAAATATAATCAAGTACTCTATACATTATCTATTGTGTGATGTCTCTTCAATAATTTGGACTACATTACTGTAATAAAACAAGTGAATGTAATACCAGTGCAACTCAATTTTCATTGAGAAAAGCAATAACTGTAAAAGATATCCGTTCCGCAAGTAAAAAACACGGGGATATTCCCGTGAATGTGGCTGTGACACGACCGTTTACATGATGGAACACTTAGGCTTTCATCTGCAAGGGCGATGGCATGATGGGCAATGAGAATCAGATGATGCGCATCCAATACTGAATGTAACAGCAATGACAGCTTGTATGTGCAGCAGCAGCAGTAACAATCGTTCATGTGAACATAAACTCACTGGCATTTACGTCACAATCATGAACAATACTCTCCAAAATGTCCTTTTAATAAGATGCTGAAACGTGTTAATACTTTTTTGTAACAGAAATTAGTAACCATTATTTATGAAAATGTATATTCTATGACTTAATATTATCTTACCTTTCATTGTGACCAGTTCCATTGTGAGGGTTCCTGTCCTATAGTAGCCAGTAAACTTACATGTGTAAACCCCACCACGTGAAAATGTAACTGTCGACAATGTTAAAGGAAACTGATCTTTATAATAAGACGATCGCGGTGGATCTTGTAGGTTCTGATCATAACCCTGTGTTGTGCCATCATGCGATCTCCATTTCCAAGTGACAGCGCGTGCCAGCTGTGAACGATCTTTCCACTTAAATCCAGGATCAGATTCATCACATGACAAAGAGACCTCCCCACCCTCGTGTATGAAATATGTTTTCACTGCGGGTGCCTTCCCAACATCACTTCCTAAAAAACAGCAGTCAATTAACCAATGCACAGTAATTATCAAAACATATACTAAATGTAAATATGTAATTGTTACATTTGACATAATGTTTAAAATTCAATGTTATAACAAAACACATGAGTTAATAGCAGTACATTTCAATGTATATAACAGTAGACTTACCAGTTGATATGAACTGCAATTTGTACGAGGCAAAGGGACTGTTGTGCTGGTCATGTAGAACACATTTCCATTGTCCCTGTTGAGATCGTTTTACTTTGTTCAGTGTCAGCTCGTTGCCTCGTGAAATGTAAGTGGCACCATGATACCAAACCAGACCTGTTCCATATCCACTGTTTGAGATGAAACAGGTCAATGTGACAGTCTCTCCTTCTGTCACAGAGCGAGATGGGTCGGCTGAAACTAAAGAAAGCAAAAGCAGTAAAACAAACTCAGACATCAGGAGTGACTCCGTGCTCCAGACTCCTCCACTACTCCTCTTGTGGACAAGGCCACATCAGCGACGCTCAGCCAGTCTGGGCGACTTCTAAACTGTCCCCGTTCACCACAGAACTCTGTCCATGTGAGTGCGATGGGTCTGCATCAGCAGGAGACTCTTCTGTTCACAAGTGTGCTGGAAAACATGTGGCTGCACTACACCACAGGCAGAATGTCACGGGCGATGGCTGTGGATGTGACGCCAGTGTGAGTGCCATGGGAAGCCTGGGTTGCCATCTACATGGATCGTGGTACAATCGTCAGTCTCGTGGGATCCCTCGGACGTGCGGTGCTATCACGTTGGAAGAATTCATAATGTACAATTGCAGCAGTGTGTTTTATGCTTGACTAAACTCATTACAGCCATCAAAATTAATACTGTAATATAATTGGTAGCAGTTTACATTCATGGACTATTAGTACAAAATCGTACACTATGAATAATTAAATGCATTCCACTTTTATATTTAAGTGCATATGCTTGTGCAAAAAAGTAAAATATAATTTACCTTGCATTGTGATAAGTTCTCTTGTTAATCTGCTTGTTCTAAAGTAGCCAGCAAAGTGGCAAATGTAGAGCCCAGCATCACTGTAATACACGTTTGAGATTTCAATAGAGAAGTTGTCTTCATCAAAAGCAGGCTTCAATGCTCTTATACTGGAAACCAGTGGTATAGTGGTATTTTTTCGTACATCTCCATTCCGTTGACCAGTTTTCTTAAGATACTGGACAATCGTTGTACTACCACTACCCTGCCTCTCCCATCTCCAGATCAGATCCAGGTCAGAGGAAGGGTAATCTTGCCATTTAAATTCTGGATCAGATTCAACGCATGGCAAAATGACCGTCTGGCCCACAGAAACAAAATAATTTCTGGGGGAAGGTGCCTTCACATCCCAAACATCTACAAAAATATAACAAAACAGATACATTATTACACTTCAAACATTGAAATTACAGAAAAATACTTGACAATTTGAATACTTTTAGTTATTACACCTCCACAACGGATGCATCACATACATCAGATTCATCACACTTATAATATACTGATTGCATTGGTAATACAAATTAAGCATATATTTAAAAGATCACGGTGTGAAATTAAATTCACCAAGGGATTAATTTATTTTGAAACATTTCTGGGACTGCCCAAACCCCTGGACCCCTCCCCTTCCCCCAACTGACGGGGATAGCAAAAGGGAGAGGGGGGGATAAATATTTTCCAGGGATCAACCCCAGACAGCACCAGCTGAAATCAATCCCTGAATATACTTACTCCGTGATGAGACTTTCAAATCGTGAGAAGCAGATGCTTTGTCAGTTTGGGTTTTTACACCACATGTCCATGCTCCCTCTTGACATCGTTTGACTTTGTGTAATGTCAGCACAGGATTTCCTGGGTTCATCTCAATGCCATCGTCAATGCCACCATGATACCAAACCAGACCTGATCCATAGGCACTGTTTGAGATGAGACAGGTCAATGTGACAGTCGCTCCTTCTGTCACAGAGCGGGATGGGTTGGCTGAAACTAAAGAGAGCAAAAGAAGTCAAACAAACTCAGGACTCAGCAGTGACCCCGTGCTCCAGACTCCTCCACTACTCCTCTTGTGGACGAGACCACAGCAGCGACGCTCAGCGAGTCTGGGCGACTCCTAACCGGTCCCCGTTCACCACAGAGACCTGACGGGCTGTGTGACAGGGGGCGGTGTGAGGGGCCTCGTAGCACTGTGTGACAGTTCTGCAAGTAAACACGCAGTTTCACTAAAACAGTATCGCCCGTGACAGGAGTCAATGTCAGGCGAGGTCCAGAAACAATAATTGCCATTCCATGAACAGTTCCGCATGAAATCGCGTGGCTCCACTGGAACACGGGTGACGTCGCCCAGACACCGTGGCACTGACGTGGCACCACAGGTCGTGTGACGTCACCAGAGGGCACGGAATGACAGGGAGAGTCAGGAGGGACTCATCCAATGTCAACATCTCCACCTCCGATTAGCACGGTTGGCTACGTACGGTGCGAAAGACGTTCAATATACATACATTCTGCAGGACTACCTATAATACCAATGTAAGCTTACTCCTTAAACATGCAACATGTTTTACCTGAGCATTACTGAAAATGTGTATTTTAATACCATGGTATGTTATATGAAGGTGTCATTTATCTTGATATAGAAGTTGCACTATTGTATGAAGGTGTTTTAATGATATATATAAAATCACATTACCTTTCATTGTGACCAGTTCCATTGTGAGGGTGCCTGTCCTATAGTAGCCAGTAAACTCACATGTGTAAACCCCACCACGTGAAAACGTAACTTTCGACAACGTTAACGGAAACTGATCTTCATAATAAGACGATTTCGGTGGATTTCGTAGGTTCTGATTAAAACCCTTTGTTGTGCGATCATGCGATCTCCATTTCCAAGTGACAGTGCATGTCCGCTGTGAATGATCTTTCCACTTAAATCCAGGATCAGATTCATCACATGACAAAGAAACATCCCCACCCTCGTGTATGAAATATTTCTTCACTGCGGGTGCCTTCCTAACATTACATCCTATAAAAAAAAAACACAGCAGTAAATTAACCAATGCACAGTAATTAGCAAAACATATACTAAATTTCAATATGTATTTGTTACATTTGACATTACAATTTTTATATCCTTTATATTAAGTTCGCTTGCTTGCTTGCGTGCTTGCTTGCTTGCTTGCGTGCTTGCTTGCTTGCTTGCTTAGGACCGTGCAAATCTTTCGCTCGTTTTTTAACCCACTTCCCGTGATCCAATCGAGCTGACATTTTCCACACAGACTCGTTGTGCGAGACAATTAATGTTCGTGAAAATTTTTTCACTAATTTTACACTTCTTAGGCAAAAAAATTGTATTTTACATTTATTCAAATACAACTCATTCATGGCTTTGGCTGAACGTCACAGTGTAGGAGCCCAGAGCGTAACCCCTCCACAGGCCGTGGCGGAGTAGCGCAGTTGGTAGCGCCCTCGCTTCCCATGCCAAAGGTCGCGGGATCGATCCCCGCGTCCTCCACAGGCGAATATATTTTTAAATCCTTTATATTAAGTTCGCTTGCTTGCTTAGGACCGTGCAAATCTTTCGCTCGTTTTTTAACCCACTTCCCGTGATCCAATCGAGCTGACATTTTCCACACAGACTCGTTATGTGACAATTAATTTTCGTGAAAATTTTTTTCCAAAATTTTACACTGTTTAGGGAAAACAAATTAATTATTTAATTACCAATTGCTTAATACTGGCAGACAATCATCTGACCCATAGGTGGCAGCTATCTCAAGCCAGAGGACGAGAAGACTCTAGCCGCCACGCATATAAAGGATTTATAGTGAAAAACTTTGTTTTTACGGGTTTACTTGTTTAAATTCAATATAATAACAAAACACGTGAGTTAATAACAGTACAATTAAATATATATAACAGTAGACTTACCAGTTGATCTAAACTCCAATTTGTACGAGGCAAAGGGACTGTTTTGCTGGTATTGTAGAAAACATTTCCATTCTCCCTGTTGAGATCGTTTTACTTTGTTCAGTGTCAGCCGATTGCCTTTGTCAATGTAAGTGTCACCATGAGACCAAACCAGAACTGTTCCATAGACAATTTTTGAGATGAGACAGGTCAATGTGACAGTCTCTCCTTCTGTCACAGAGCGGGATGGGTTGGCTGAAACTAAAGAAAGCAAAAGCAGTAAAACAAACTCAGGACTCAGCAGTGACTCCGTGCTCCAGACTCCTCCACTACTCCTCCTGTGGACGAGACCACAGCAGCACCGCTCAGCGCGTCTGGGCGACTCCTAAACGGTCCCCGTTCACTACAGAGACCTGACGGGCTGTGTGACAAGGGGCGGTGTGAGGGGCCTGCAACAGTACCAACGTCTCTTGTTGCACTGACACTCCTGCAAGTAAACGCGCGGCTTCGCTAGGAGAACGCCGAACAGGACTCCCGGTGCAATGCCACCGTGGGAGCGATAGGAAGTCTGTGCCGTGTCACCTCCACGAGTCGCAGTGCCACGGTGAGGCAGAGGACGTGAGGCAGCGAGGACAATCTACCGATGGCATTGCAGTGGAAGGGCTCGTCACGTGCAGTACCAGCGCCACGCATCGCTCTCGTGTAAACTCTTTGCAGCGTTTAAACCACAACTTGTTCTTGACGGATAAAATGTGATGAAAGTATATCACGATTAAAAATGTACAACAAATAATCATACATTTCACTTTGAAGTGTAGGAAGGGTGCTTGTGCAAAATAGTGTAACACATTTCTTTACCTTCCATTGTGATAATTTCCATCATGAGACTCTCTGTTCCAAATTCCCTTTCAACCAGGCAACTGTAAAACCCAGCGTCACTGTGCTGCACATTTGCGATTCGGATAGAAGCCCTATGTTGATCAACATCCTTAGTAACTGTTATCCTGGCCTCTCCTGAGTTTGTTAAATCGATCTCGGTTGCTCTACCGCCTTCACCACGCCACCAGGTGATAGATCTGATATTGGGATTGTCGTACTGTGTCCATCCTGGAGTGGTTATGTCACACGTCAAGGTGACTTTCTGTCCCACAGCAACAAAATACCTTCTGGAGGGTGCCTGTAAATAAGCACTCGCTTCAAAAGTGAAACGACAAAACGGCAAATTATACATATTGAACACTCCAGTACGGTTTTTCAATGTGCGGTGCGAAACAAGTTGAACGTACATACTGTACGTAAACACAGTGTGGTGTATAACAGCACGTGAATAATAACTCACTGATGCGGGACAAGATGCAGATGACAACACTCATCCACACCGCACGCCTCCTCGTCCCCGTGTCCATGGCACAGATCCACGGCGCCGTCTGCTCAGTTCTCAGCACGCACCACGTTTTATGTCGCTCCTGCTGCCGCCTTCAGTTGAAGAGTCGCGACATCCCACCCACAGCTCGCTGAGGTTTCACTTCCAACCACAGCTGCCACACCAAACCTCAGCCTCTCTCTCGAGCACGAATTCATCATCACACTTCCTTTTACTGTTTCAACGTCAAATAAAAAAAACGTTACCACTGTTATCGTGCTCAGAAAGTAATTAATTTACCAAACTAAAATACGAATTCATAACTAACATTAAATACCATGAACGTGCTTTTGGTATAGAAGTCGCCTGACGCCATTTGGAACGTGAATGTTCAATTCGCGTCCGTGCACATCAAGTCTGGTGGTGTTCGTCCATACGCCATCCGCCTCCCTGGCCATGAAGTCGGAGGCCCTGTCTGGACGCGGCTCGCTGCTGTTTGACCCAAGGGTCCGCAGTGCCGCAGGGCCCCATCAGCGTGCAGCGAGATGGCACATTTGTCCAGGCTCCAAAACGCCAGAGGCCCAATAAATATAACAAACAAAAAAATCTGTATTTAGAAATGACTTTATTAATTCTGTATAATTGTTTTAACAAGAATAACATGACCAATACTAGCTTCATTAAGTGTTATTTCTTACGTTGTTTTAATGTCAGAATGGGAGGGGGGTCTTTTCTGCTCAGGTGTCCCAGGGGTAAAGACATCTAAACCCGGCCCTTCTCCCTGCTCACACGGTCATTGTTGCTACTACCAGACCCTCTGTGAGTGCTCTCCATCTGAGTCAGAACAGGGATGACGTGAATAGCTCGCTGGTAAACAACACTGCAGGCAGATGGAGCAAGTTCCATAACTTCCCTTGCACAGCCAATAGATTATATATGCTTGTCATTTGGGTTTTTTAAGTACAGCAAAGTAGAATTACAACTTGTTTTACAGCATAAAGTTGAACAATACAACCGAATAAAAATACAGATTTAGTTTTTTTTTTATCAAATACCATGACCTTTCTTTGTTTCACAAGGTAAAAACCCAGACAATTAGTTTCTGTATTTGTAGTGTTATCAATAACAGATAAATAAACTTCTTTAAGGCACACACTGGTTTATTGTCTTTCTTTCGACACAGTCCCTATACACACACAGAGGGATATACGGTTCCCTCACCTGTAGCCTAAGGAGGTACAGCCTCCGTACCTGGCGTGACCTATACACGGGTCTGGCTGCTAGCCTAGGGAGGTACAGCCTCCGAACTGGCGGGAGCTACACACAGTCTACCCGCTACCCTAGCGTCCTCCGGCTGGGACAAAAGGGCAGGTTAGCTTGACCCACCGCTGGCTCGGTGGGTCCCCTGACCACTGGTCGCGCAGAGCCTTAGCTCTTAGAAGAGCTGGAAGGCTGGGAAGCCAGGGTCCTGCCAGCCAGGACTTATTCTCCCCTTGACCGCTGGAACACTGAGCCTTAGCTCTTAGAAGAGCTGGAAGGCCAGGGAGCCAGGGTCCTGCCTATTCAGGACCTATTCTCCCCTTGACCGCTGGAACACTGAGCCTTAGCTCTTAGAAGAGCTGGAAGGCTGGGGAGCCAGGATCCTGCCTATCCAGGACCTATTCTCCCCTTGACTGCTGGAACACTGAGCCTTAGCTCTTAGAAGAGCTAGCAGGCTTGGTCCAGGGTCCTATCTTCTTCAGCCCGGGCTTTGGTCTTCGTGTGAGGAGAACTCCCGCGCGCTCCCCACGCTCGCCCTTTTATACCCGTTTGTAACGGTCTTTATCCAATCCCACGCTCCCTCGTGGAACCTTCTTTACAATCCGTCGTTTCGATCCTCTTTTACCTCATCTGACCCCTGGCCGTTGGTCTGGCGGGAATTTGTGTTTACGATCCGCTCTCACCTCTCCCTGACACCCGGCCATTGTCCCAGAGCAGTAACTCTGCATTGCCCCTCTGATACATAGTGGCCCCGCAGGTTACCGAGTAGAGTGTGTCTAGCACCTCTACACACTTATAGTGGTAGACTTCTATTCAGAAAGACACTAATCACAGCTGGCAATGACGACTGATGAGCATTTAAATAGCCACGCGTTTTCTCATTAAATCACATTCCGTGTGAACAGCACAGCACACGTTATGTTACTTCTGCTCTTGAACACAACTGAAAGATTACGAACCTTCAGCGATTATTACAATATACCGAATGTTAAATATGCACAGAATCCATCTTAATACTGGATTGTTGAGACTCAAAACGTGAATTTAAATCAAGTAAATAACATCATCGAACTAAAACAATGTTAAATGGAAATACTCGGCTCCAGAAAAGTAACTGCACAGCATTTGGAAAATGTGTATCGCTCATTCATACAGGTCGAGGAATCTAAAAAAATTACTTTTCAACCCGTGCAGCATTTTCCTCCTTGGTCATGAGGTCAGAGCCCGTCGCTGGACGCTGTTTGCTGCTGTTTGACCCAAGGCTCAGGTGATGCTGCTCCCCGTTGGATCAATTCAAATAGCAGCAGCCACCACAGAGCCAACTGTGGGACACTGGGGTGGGATTTATCAGTTCAAAAACAAGATTATTACTCGTGGATACTTACAATTACGTGTTCATACACATATAAAATAGCCCAGATCTGTCCTTCTGTGACTGTGATTAACGCCCCCGGATTGGTTGAAGTGCGTCACGTGACCGCGAGCAAGCAGCCAACCAGAGGTGCGCCTTTCCAAAACATGTACGCCCCCGGATTGGTTGAAGTGCGTCACGTGACCACGAGCAGCCCAATTCGTGTTGTTGTGGTGTGCCCTGCACCTCTGGGGCCCGAGAAGCAGCAACATCACGGCCACAGCACCGGAGACGCAGCCACGGAAAGCTGACGGTCGATCCACACACACGGCTCACTCATACACACAGCTCACTCACACACAATCACTCATACACACAGCTCACTCACACTCACACACAATCACTCATACACACAGCTCACTCACACTCACTCACACACAATCGCATGCAGCTCAGAGGAGACGGGTGAGCAGAGGTCACAATCGGGTACCCGATACCCGTACCCTACCCGATACCCGGCTACCCGTACCCTGGTGCGGCTGGGTACGCGTACGGGTAAGCCGTGAGTCACTGGTGAGTAACCGTTTGTCACTCATTTCCCAACGTCTTGTCTCTTCTCACAATTCAAGTTCCTAGAATCAACCCACCCGCGCCTGCAACATGGCTTCATCCCAGAGGTCGCAATCGGGTACCCGTACCCTACCCGTGGCCCGGCCGGGTACGGGTAGCCGGGTATCAGGTAGGGTACGGGTATCGGGTACCCGTTTGCGACCCTGGTGCGGCCGGGTACGGGTAAGGAATCAAAACCCGTTTGCGACCTCTGCGGGTGAGTCAGAGTGGGCAGAGCCGTGCTCCGTCCACTGCTGCCCTGAGGGACCCCCGTGCTCTCCACTGCTGGCTTGAGGGAGAGCCGCGCTATCTCCACTGCTGCCGTGAGGGACGCACTCTCTCCACTGCTGCCGAGGCAGAGCCGTGCTCGCTCCGCTGCTGCCCTGAGGGAGAGCCATGCTCTGTTCGCTGCTGCCATGAGGGAGAGCCGTGCTCTGTCCATTACATTAGTACTCGAGTTTTTTTGGTGCTTTAATCCACTGCTGGATGAAGGCCCACCGCACGCTGTGCGAGTGGATCGTAAGAATTTACTTGACCAGTCTGTTGGGGGCCGCCACACACCGTGGTTGTTGGGGGTGCCGCAGGCGGCCCCGCACAACCATATACGACCTAGTTACTCAATATTGTCAACTGGCGTTGTGGTCTAAAATTAAATTCCACGTGCCGTATCACATTAACAAATGAATGTTTCCTTTTAGACCATTTGTTACACTTCTGTAATGCTGTTGGTTTTTTCGGTAAAGTCACGGAGGTAGAAAAATATAAGTAAAATAATACAGGGTGTTTTTAAAAGATTGATCCAATTTCAAAACAGGATATTTCACGATGGCAACTTGTTACAATTACACAAAAAGTTACAAATGGTTTAATGAGTTATCAAGTTTTACTAACCATTTTATAAATGCTCTATGTGCCCTCCACCTGCTGTATGGACAACATTGAGACGATAGTTGAATTCTTCCTAAACGCCTCTCAAAGTGTCTTTTTCCACTGAAGTCACCGCTGACGTGATGCTGTTTTTGAGGTCATCCAGATTCGTCGCTAATGGTGGCACAAAAACACGGTTTTTTACGTATCCCCACAAGAAAAAGTCACAGGGTGTGATGTCTGGGGATCTTGGGGGCCAAGAGTGTAGCGCCAAGTCTTGGGGTCCCGTGCGACCTATCCAACGTTGAGGCAGTGTGTCTTGTGAATGACTAGGAGCTGTTAGTGCGCTGGGAGAGGCATCTAGCAGTAATCCTTTGAAACTCTATGCCCCGCCCTTTCAAGTGGTAAGAGTTTCATTCATGGGCGGTTCGTGGTTGCAGAGATAAAGCGATTTCAAGTCGGGTCCATCTTTTTAAACACCCTGTATATCACCACGTTTCGATCGCAACACATGCGTTCGTCATCAGGAAGAAAAAAGAGGGGGACAGCTGCTGAAGCAGACTGTTTTAAAAGGTTTAAAATGGATGTAGCCCAAGGGTCATAAACGAAGTGGGTGAAGCTGGTGATGTTAATGTGAGAGATTAGCATGTTAATGTAAGATCGGAGAGTGGCCTCCACGAGGCAAGCGCGTCAACGCAAGAGAGCCACCGCAACAGTGGCCATGCCAGTGAGACACACAGCGCATAACACAGTAAGAACCATCGATACATCTAAGGCAGCAAAGGTGGCCATGTTAGTGAGACCCCAGCCCGGTAATGCAAAGGCATCCCACAGGGCAATGCAACTCAGAGAGTCGGAGATAACAGCCACACGGCAGGAAGGATGGAAGCATCACAGCGTGTTAAGACTTTACCTGGTTAATAACGTCCTTTCTATGATTGCTCAGCTTATACCCATCTTCTCAGTTGAAATTGTTTCCGTGTTTATATATCTGGATGGCTTCATGGACAAATCTTTAAAAGGTAGCCCGAAGGTTTGCAGAGTACCTTGGTCTCGGAAAAACAATATCGTGCGAGCCCACCG